TATTTATTGTTGTATTTATTGTTTATTATTGTTATTTTTAATGTTTAATAATAATAATAATAATAATTTGAAGGGTAGCAGAGCTGTCTCGTCGAATGGACTTATTCCAAGAGGAAAATAAAAAGTTGAAAGGCGATCTCTTAGAAATGAAATCAAAACATCGAGAATTGGAGATGGAATACAATGGAACAATAAGAAAAATCAATGAAAAGGGTTGGTGGTAATTATAATTAATAATAATAATAAATAATAGAATAATATTTATTTATTTATTTATTATTTTTTAGATGTGACCATCCAAAATTTGGAGCTGCTGAAAACAAATCTGCTGAAGGAGCTGGAGAATGAACGTGTCAGATTTGACGCTGTAACATCCGAGTTGGACAATCTCCAAGTGGATTTTGATTCTAAAACGAAAACTACCGTAGCCGTTGAGATGACTGTCAAGGAGCTGAAGCGACAGAGGGACGAAATTAGGTACCGGAATCGAGTAATTATTATTTTAAATTATTGTTATTCGTAGTGAGTGGGCGGAGCTTTCTGTAATGGGCGGGTCCTTGGAAGTGGGCGGGACTTATTGTGCAAGCCAATCGCGCCGCCATGCAAAGTTATAACCACTGGCATAAGCGCCGCCTCCAAGACGCCCGCGCGCACGCAGTGCGTTGTTGATGCGGTGCGTGCGTAGCTTCTAGCAGCTCAATAGCGGCAGCTCTATAGTAATAATTGCTGGTTGTTTAGCAAAGAAAAAGAGGACCTTTCAAAACATTTGGTGGAGTTGTCACGTCGATTGGCATCCGAAATTAAACGGGGAGACGACGCGGAATACATAATGCAACGTATTATTTATTATTATTTATTATTATTATATATTGTTATTTATTATTATTATATATTGTTATTATTTATTATTGTTGTTATTTTTTATTGTTGTTTTTATGATGGTTACCTTCGCAGAGAATATGAACGACATTGGACGAATGGAGGGCGACTTGTTGGATAATGAGAAGCAAATCCTGGCGTTGAGGCAACAAAACGACGAGAGCGACACAAAGTTAGCGACTCTCAACGCGAAAATTTCGAACTTGGAAAATTGCCAAGCGTCCAGCGCTCGCGAAATTCAGAAACTAACTGAACTGAACGCAAAACTACAGCAGGAGAAACAGGATATCATGAGGTCAGTGGCAACAACGCCTTCTCAAATTTGCCAAATTATATTTGGAAAAAAAATGAAAAGAAGCACGCGTGCGTGTGTAGTTTGTAGTTTGTACTTTGATGACTTGTGTAGTTTGTAGTTTGAAACAAAAGTGTGACGTCATGGTGGATTTGCTGAAAGATAAACTGCGCAAAATGGATGTTGAAATGGAGAAGCTGAAAGGTGAAAATAGAGAGCTGCAAGAGCGCGAAGATGCAGCGCAAAAACAGCAAAAAGAAGACGCCAACAAAGTGCATCAGCTGGCGATGGAGCTGAAAGAGGCGGGCGCGGAAATTCAAGAGCTCGAACGTGAGAAATTCGCCGTTTTCTATCTTTTCCGCCTCCCATTTTCACATGCTATTTCTCTTGACTTTCCTGTGTATTTGTTTTGCAGGAAAATTGGCGCAAGTGGCTGAAGATGATCAATTAAGATTGCAACAAACGCGACAGGCATCTTCAGGTACTCGGGGCGAATTTTACAGATTTTAATTATTGATTTTACTTTTAATTATTTTAATTATTTTAGTTATTTTAATTATTTACAGATTAACTATTTTACAGATTACTGATTTTAACTATCGTTATTATGTTATGTTTATTGTTATACTAGTTACTATTATTGATGTATTATTTATTATTATT